ACATTATAGTAAGAATAAGAAAAATTTTCTCGTGACATTACTGTGAGAAGAAGCACAATTTCTTTTAAAATGATGTGAATGCATTCAACATGATCAACAAGTTTTTCTTTTTTAGAGAGAATAAAATTGTCTGTCAGTGAGATATAAGTCTTTTCCTTTTTAAAAGAGAAATAGATTCTTCCAAAAAGGATAGTTTTTCTTTGAAATTTTATACCTCAATTTTGATAAAAGATATTTATTCACTTGAAACAGATAAATCAAAACGCAAGTGATAAATCGTGTCAGCCTATTCAATATTTTTTATGGAAGAGTAGTTAACAATATTTTTTACCTGATACATTGAGGTTGAGTCCTAGTTATACTTAAGGTCTGTAGCAGCTTGAGAAAGATCAACGTCAAGAATGTCAAATTTGTTATTTGGTGTATTAGCATGAAACTCAATGATCTGAGCCATGAGACACTTACCTTTTAAAACATCGTCATCTGAGTGATTTTCTTAAAAGTAGATGATAGTGTGATCATCATCTTTTGTGTAGTTGAGCAATCTTTAACCAAATGATAGAAAAAATATGGAAGTGAGTTTCTAATAGCAACTCTCACATTTACATTATGATTTAGCACCATCATTCGATGATTGATGCATAGAAACGATAGGACCCTTGTTGATGATTTTGAGCATGTCATAGTCCATGATCTCGAGAGCATCCATGACATTTGATTTCCAAGTAGTACAATTGAGTTCATCAAAAGGAGGGATCTTGTTTGAAGCAGATGATTAGGGATTATAAGAGGTCGACAAAATCATTTGAGTGTATCAAAAATCTGCTCTAATACCAATTGAAGGTTTGAGACAATCGGAAACACTTCAAGTATAATTAACAAAGAATAAACTAACTAAATGACATATGTAATAGAAAAATAAAGAAAACGGGTAACCAGAAGTATGCCTTTCACCAAGAAAGGGGTTGTTCTCACCATGAGAACAAAGGTCACAAAGATGGTCACCAAGACATACATTGTGGTTTCACAATAATGTTGATTATATATGATTATATAACAAACATCCAACTAATTAAGGGGTGCATACCTATTCTAAGTAAATATACGATCCTTGTCACGAAGATTAAGGGTCAAATATCTATTCTACACATATTTGTATAAGTGTCTAATATACGAATATTACATAAGATCATTATTTTCACACTAGTGTTGATCAGATCTTGAGAGACTAGCACTTCTGCTAATGTTGGAGCTAGCGTTAGTGGTCAGCATTTAAAGTGTTTGACTCATCAGATCATAAGGTGTGACATTACATAGAATGGTGGAGTAGTGACTTGGAAAAGTTCCAAGGAGACAACGGTGGCTGTTTCTACTTGTGAATCAGAGTACATTGCAGTGAGTGAGCCATGAAAAGAAGTAGCTTGGTTGAAGAATATCATTGGAGATATTATCATGGAAGTAAGTAGTGAATTAAGTCTAACATGAAACGATTGTAGATTGTCCTTATATATTGGACATTGCATATGGATTGCTACGATATTCATGAGTACTTAGAAAATAGAGATTTTGAGTATTAGATAAGCCCACGGTTAGAGATAACTTCATGGATTTAATTACTAGTAATTCTAAGATGATAATGTCTTATATTCTTCAAACGAATACACATAAGTTGTAATTTGCAAATCAGTTATGCATTGGTGTTGTGTAAACACATCAGTAACATGTTGTTATAAAATGTAATGTCATGTATGATTTGATAAGTAAAGGTTACTGTTATGTAGTCAAAGTTTATCTATTCCTTTTTTCTTAATATGAAAAGCAATATATATGGTCCCCTTGGTGATTTGATGTTGACATTATAGTGTTGGGCCCATTTAGGACTAAATTCATGTGTTCAATTAGTAGTCTAATGATGTCATCACAAATCCAGAAACCGGGAAACAAAATCTTGGACAAGTAGATTGATTCTTATACGTATCTCTTTTCCATATAATATCATGAAGAATGAAGGAATAGTTGACTACTTATTTTAGGTCCAACGTTTGATTTGAATCAAAGTTCGATAGTGGTTTTGGAAAGCACACTTTGCTGTTTGGTTCAAGCCTATAGTCGCAATTGTAGTTATAGACTTATCCAAGTGGGAAATTATTGGATTAAGGTGTCTAAGCTCATAACTAAATTGGTATATACTTGTAATTAAAAGCAAAGTCCATTTTGGGTTCCATCATAACTAGAACCTGCTTAGAATGCCATTTGTATATAGAGGATAATTTATTAGTTTATTATATGATTAATAAATTGTAATAGATGATTTGTTAATATATTATATGATTAATATATTAATTAGAATTAGTAATAATTAATTAAGAATTAATTATAACTAATTTTGAATTAACAACTGAGAGGATCTGGAACCTTGCATATAGTGGACATTTCTGGGATGCCGTAATAGGGAATTTTGGAAGCCTGCTAATAATAATGAAACTGAATAACTACCTAAATTCAAATTTAGGTTTCTAGGTTTTTCCAATCAGAAATAAGTAGGACCCTTGGGTCATCTATTTTCATCCACTCCAAATACGAGAAGAATAGTTGAATTTCTTCCCTACCGCTCCTCTCTCCCCAATAGTCTTCTAGTTCTAGGTTTCAGGTACAAACCATTAGAGACATCACACTTTTGGTGCAAGCTTTCCAAGATCAACTACATGGGATTGAAGGGAATTGTTTACTATAACAATTCAAATATATGTAACCCTAACTTGGTATTTTAGATTAGATTAGGGTTTATGTTTGGTTTTATTTTTCATTCTATGTTGCCTTCAAAGTGTTATGACATAGATTCTTATTGGTTTCATGCGCCCTTAGATGTTAAGTGATTTTATGCATGTACATGATTATTATAACCTATAAAACCCATCACTTACTTCCCCATGACACTAAATGGAAATGTTGGAATATAGTTCAAAATGTTGGCATCAGGAAGCATAAGTAAATTTGCAAAACTAAAGTACCGCTTTCTAACACATTTCATGCAACGAAGGCAATACAAGAAAGATACATAGGCGATTATTGATCTTAAATAAAGAAAAACTTTCTCTTAGTCTTGAGCTAAAGATTCTCAAAGAAAAAATCTTGTCTTTATAAAAATCTCTTTCTCTTTAAAAAAAACTCTTGTATCTCGCTAACCAATAATTTTCTTCACACCGAAAAAGAAAAAGTTGTTGATCATGTTAATCGCACTCAACTTATTTTAAAATTTTGGGCATCCTCTCACTTTAATGTCACAAGAATCATGAATGCTCAGAATCCAGATTAGTGTAAGAAAATTCTTGGAGGTGATATAGAAGGTGTTGTTTCTTTAACCAAAATTGAAACTAAACAAACCTTTTATGAAGATGACTTCTTGAAAGAAGACTTTAAAAGTAGATTTGTGAGTTCTTACTTTACAAATCAAACCTTAATCAATACTTACTGCTATACTGATTCTAATTGCATTACTAAATACTTACTACTCTACTGATTCTTAGCATACTTTCTCAGTAGTCAGTTAGCATTTCCAAACTTGAAGATCAATTAAAGACTTCTACTCCTGATAACTGTTCAAAGGATCATACTTCTCATGACAAGGTAGTATATATGCCTACCAGTGATAACATTCCTTGTTCCAAAACTAAATCAAGAACTCCTAAATCAAATAATCAAAGTTATTCAGATTCAGCAGTTGAAAAGAAATCAAAATCTAATATTAAAGGAAAGAATCATGGAATTAAATTTTGTTATTGGTGTGGTGATGCCTCTCACAAAGTCCGCAAATCTACTTTTGAAACGAACACCATTCGCGTTGATAATATCATGAATTGAAATGGTAAGTGGACCAAAAAGGAAAGCTCGTTGAATTATCTTCCTGATGATTGTTATAACATATTTTCTCTGTGATCCTATACAAGTGAGCCAATGTATATATTCAATGTATATTTAGTGTATATTTTATTTTTCGAATTACTATACATCTCAGTTTCAAGGTAAAGAGCAAATTTGTTATTTAGATAGCATATTCTCAAGACATATGATAGGATTCAAGTTTCACTTTGAAGATTTCATAAACAAGGATGGTCCATCAGATACATACAAAGATAATGGAAAGTGAGCTATAAAGGGATATGGATCCATAAACACAACTAGACAACAACACTTTAATGATGCGCAAGCAATGACACTCGCTGATAGAGGACACGCATTTGTGTGTGCCCTAAAAAATAATGTCAATTTCTCAAAATTTTAAGGATTAAGGTCACACGTTTTTGCGTGCCCTGAAATTAGTGTCTAAAGAAAAAAACTAAAAACATGGAGGGCACCTATAATAAAATGTGTATTGTCTAAGACTATCATTTTATAAATTTTAATATAATGCGCGCGTTCATCCGGGTAAAATGAAATCCCCAAAACTTAAAAATCCCGCCTCCTTTTTTTCCTCCTCTGCTTTAGTTTCCCTCTTTGTAATAGCTAGGGCTTTTTCAAGAACTTGCCTCGACAGGAAGGGGATTCGAAACACGATTGGGAACAGTGGGTCAGGAAGCACCGGTAGGGAGCAACGATCGAAATGAAATTAGAGCACCAACAGGTGGTGGCGACCGGAGATTCTCAACAACTGCAGTGGTGGTCAATAAGTGGAGCTGCGATAGCAACTTGTAGCCCTTCTCTTTTATTTTCTGGAAATGGTCAATAAGGAGAACAGACGGCAGAGGGAAGGGAATATTGGCACCGGTGATGGAGGGGACAACCAATCATAGCAGCGACGACAACGAGGTGGTGGGTGGTAACGGTTGACTGGCGATAGCGACTCTTCTGCCTGGTTTTCCTTTGTGTATGTAACAATCGACAGGAAATGATGTAGAGGGGGAGGAGGACTATCGGAGGTTGGAACAGAGTCAACAATCTCCGACTTCTTATTGGGCTTTTTCCGGTGATAGGGAATCTCAAACGACATAGTTGTTGTCAGAATGAAGAAAGTGAGAAGCACCATATCAAGTGGGTGTTTGGGGTTCTACGTAACATCAAGAGGGGAAGAAGATGGTGTGAATGATTCTCCTTTAGCTGGTCTTGATGGTTCTTAAGTAAGATAAAAATAACTTGTCTTCTTCTTCTTCTTGTTCTTCTTGTACTTTGCTCTAACTTTTCAAGTAATCCAATGTTTGTACTTTGTATACACCTCATCATCTTTAATGTGTGTAGTTAATTGGAGGAAAGATTGGTGATAAACTATTGGCAAAAGCAGAAACAAACTTAGCCATAAATATAATCCCCGGTTTAGCACAATCATATGAGGTTCGAGGAAGAGGAGAACTTCAATTAGGTCATATCATATATTCTTTAATTCATCATATTCTTTAAAAAAATCACCAAAGAATTATTATGTATGCTAACTTCCTTCACTTTGTAGGCATCTTGCTTGAGAATATGAGGCGTGAAAATTTTGAGCTTTCTATATCCCCTTCAAGAGTTATGTAAGTTTTCTCTATCATTTACTTCTTATATGAACTTTTAGGGTTCATAATGATTATTATTTATATAATATGTTAGGTACAAGATTGAGAAAGGTGTGAAGCTAAAGCCAATTGAAGAGGTAACCATTGAGGTAAAAAAAACATTGATTTAGTATTTGTATTTGTATTTTAATGATATAAATTTTTTATATGACTGTTATAAATTAAAGGTGAATGAAGAGCATGTGGGAATGGTGATGGAAACGCTTTCTCATAGGCGAGCTGAGGTTACTAACATGAGCCCTGTTGCTGGATACTTTGGCAGGACTAGAATGACATTAACTTGTCCTTCAAGGTCAGTTTCGTCATTTTATTAACGTTTTTTTTTTCAAAAAAGTCATAAAAAGAAGTTGCTAACATTTTTGTTAATTTTTGGCTTCAGGGGACTGGTTGGTTACTGAAGCATGTTCAGCAGTGAGATACGTGGCACAGGATTTATGCATCGTGCATTCATGGGTATGTATGTAGCATATGCTCATTTTAGCTACATAAACTATACTCAATGTGTAATATAAAATTTTTTCTAGATTTTTATATCAATTTACTTATCCGTAAATTGGTAAAATATTTATGTGTTAATATGATTAATAATGAAAATGAAAAACCCAACGGTTCTTTCTCCGTGTGTGTGTTGTGTGTTTGTATGAGTAATTTTCGAGCTTCCATTGGTGCTAAGCACACATGATGATTCACCATTTCCTTGAACACCCTTTTTTTCTCGCTTTCTCAGAAATTTTCTGTCTTTAGACTCTGAATCCTCTCTCATCTTCAATTTTGCTCGGTTTCTAACGTTTGCATAAGCCAGCTCATGTCTTACTCAGATTTCCGCACGCTTGGATTGGATTCACACGTTTAGGGTAAGAAAAAGTGTTCAATATTGTTTGTACATTGTAACGTCCATAAAAATTTCAATCAATTTAAACTTTTCAAAAAAAAAAAAAAAAACAACCCAGTTTCGTTAAGTTATTACAAAGAGGTTTTCAATACAATTATTATCAGAGTCTTCCTAGTACCATATCATAAAACATAAACATGAGGAGCGGTACGATCACGCCTTTGCCTTGCCACGGTCTCCTGAAGTACTTGAAACATTTAAACCACAACTGTAAGCCCGGAAGCTTAGTATGATACCCACAAAATACCAAGCACATATTCCCTACACATAACATGCCATATCATAACATAACATACAACAACCATGCACTTCGGGTCTACTGTGTGACTGGTCCGCCGCACCGGGCCTTCAGTCCACCTGGTCCACCCTCCGAGTCTAGCCATATCCATCGAGTCTGCAGTGCGGTTGGTCCGACCGCACATGGCCTTCAACCCACGTCGTCCACTCTCTGAGTCTACAATATGACTGGTCCGCCCGCATCGGGCCTTCAGTAGGCCTGGTCCACTCTCTGAGCCTTGGCAGGTCTGGTCCGCCCTTGTGGGGCCTACAGCCTATCCGGACCGCTCGCTGGGCCTTCTGGATAACCGGTCCGCCCTGGGTATGTTGGCCTATAGCACAAAGCAGGACCTGCCTAAACCCAACCCCAGTCCAACAACCATGTGCGCATAAACATAAAATCATATAAAAATTCACATCCAAACACACCGATCGAGCTGATCACATAACATAACATCATCCTAACCAGGATACCGACCTAACCGAGTCTCTAACATATACCACCCTAACTACTAGGATGAAAACATAGCAAAGCAATAACATAACAACGATACCCGAATTACAATCCGATAAATGGCCGACCTTGGTCTCTTAGACCCTATCGATATAGTCAGGATAACTCACCTCGCAACTGCCGAAACTTTGAACTGAAGAAGCAAATTCCTGAATCACCGACTCACCGAAAATCCCGAACTATTTGAAGCAACAAAAAAATCATTAGACCAAGCACAATATCCTTCCAAGGTTAAATTGACCATTTTACCCTTAACCCGAACTGGTCCATAACTAAGGCCTAACACCAGAAAATGAAGGGCCCAACACTAGGTAAGCTTCTCAAGCCCACTAGTGACCCACTAATGGCCCAATTTGCTACATTGGGACCAATCCCTTAATGGGCCTCATCCTAAGTCTAGAATATATTCCTTGGTCCATATAATATGATTTTTGGTGGCCCACTAAGGCCCAAATACCCAAACATGCCCCAAACCACGACCCAAAACTCATGATTCATACAGATAGAGTACGCGGGGTGTACCCCTCCCCCCCCCATGTACGCTAAGCGTACAAGCAGAATGGTGAGTACGCGGGGGCGTACATCACTTTACGCGGGGTGTAAACTCGCTAAACTAAAAGTCCTCATAAGTCCTTAATGGCTTAAGCTCTTAAGCCCAAACTTCGGATCCATCAACCAAACATGCCTAGGATCCATAAAGTCTCAAACTTTATCACTTAGGACGTCCATAAAGCTCTCAATCCAAGGTCTTAATCCATTAAGACCTATCTATATCACATATGAGACAACCAAAGCCCTTAGGACCTCATTTTTCTTACTCAAGACCACTCCTAAGGTCAAAAAGGATAGCTAATCTCAACCTACTCGAATCATACATCAAGATGAGGTTTTTGGGACAAGAATGATGTCAAAACTTCATAACACCAAGATTGTCACACCCCAAAACCAGAACGGTGGAAACGTTTTGGGGTGGATGACGTCATGTCTAGTATCACAACATATGCAGTATAGTAATCAAAGTACAACAACCATTGTATTAATAGTAATAGTTTTACATGGTTTACATTACATAGAAACTTCAAAGTAATACAAGTAATAATGTAGATGCAACTTGGTACAAAACAATCTTCAATCGCCTGAGATGTACCTGTCTATTGCAGACCTGAGAATACAAGTTATTTGAAAGTGAGTATCAGCATTTTTACAAATGCTGGTGAGTTCATAAGTATTCAGTGTCATTTTATCCAAATAACTTTATACAAGTAGTAGTTTTAGAGTACACAGTGAATTAGAGTCCTTTCCAAAAAATCCTATATTTTCTGATTTAAAAGCAGTCTTCTACCAAGACTGAATGGAATTATGTTGTAAAAAGTAGTTTTTCCCTTAACACTATCATTATCAAAATATGGTATTGATTTTAAAGAAAGTAGGAGAATATTAGGGAAAATAACATATGCCTCAGCACTGAAGACTGCTGACTAAGGCAAAAGAAATCATAGACTCTAGGAGAGTATCGAATGAACGATGCGCTTAACTCAGTCTAATGAGAGAAGACACAGACCCCAGACAGTATCAAATGAATGATACGTCTAGCAAGGTCTAAAAACAGTGTTAATTCCCATTACCTTAAGGCCATGACTTATAAGGTAACCCCGAGATACTCGTAACCGTACTGATAGACACTAGAGAACTTGACGCCCTGCAAGCATCAGAAATAATGTGACATCTGTCACCCTTTGGCTTGGTAGGCCGTGTACTGTAGCTAGCAATCAGGGTGCGGGGGTGTCAATCCCGTATAAATATATACACATAATGCCCGCTCTCCGTACAGGAGACTCTGGTTACCAACTAGACAACGAAGAAGGCCGTATCCTGAAGATTCATCTCGTATAGTGAGATCTGATGTAAAATAATGGACAAGTGATAGAGACTCACAACTAAACTGACCGATGAAAAGCTATACGTCTATGCTTGTATACATAATATATAACTAATGATCAAACGACCTTCGGACGGATATCCGATCCCACGAGACCACATCTCAACAAAGAAAAGGAAATAGGGGGAACTAGCCTTCCTAAGTACTTTAAACATTATTTATATAACTATACAAGCACATGCATACATTTAACTAAGTAGAAGCATTAACAGAGTAGAAGTATTTCATGAAGTAGAAGCGTTTCTCAAAGTGGAAGTACTAATAAGGTATAAGCGTTTATGAAGTAGTAGCATTAATAAAGTAGGAGTGGTTCATGAAGTAGGAGTGGTTCGTGAAGTAGTAGCATTAATAAAGTAGGAATGGTTCGTGAAGTAATAGCATTAATAAAGTAGGAGTGTTAATAGGTGGAAGTGTATCGTGAAGTAGAAGCGTTAACAAGTAGAAGCGTATCGTGAAGTAGAAGCGTATCGTGAAGTAGAAGTGTATCACGAAGTAAAAGCGTTAACAAAGTAGTAGTATTTAACTAAGTAGGAGCATAAACTAAGTAGAAGTATAACAAAGCTGTAGTATCTAACAAAGTAGGAGTATAAACACATGGAAAAAAACTTTGATGGAACTTTTGGAAAACCATTACATTTAAGAAAATCACGCATGGTATTCTTTTGTAAAATAAGTTTGAAAACCTTTAGAAATCCTTTCATAAACAAGTTTTAAATGTAACTTTGATAAAGCATTATAGGTAAAGAAATCCTTTGTTTAAAATACTGTTGTAACTGAATCTGAAATAAAACATACAGCGCGAGAGTCAATTTGAGAAAAGCTTTGAACAAGTAAAGATGTTTTAGAAAACCATTTACAATATCATACTTGGCAAAACAGTTAACAGTGTAATGAATCCTTGTGCATGCGGGTTATCAATCACATGTGATTGATATGATAACTAGCGTGTTTAACTTGTATTTCCCCCTAAAGGCATGTAAAAACACTTAAAAGGTTAATTCAGGGGTATGAACTCACCTGTTGTAAGTTGATCGAACGAAGGTGCCGGTTGGGTGCTCGGTGTCAAGTAAAGACTTGAAGACACTTAGTGACCTATTAACATATGATGACATATGTTTACATACAATTAGTAAATATAATTTTAATTAAACACATATACACATCCTAAAGTGCGGATAACACTTTGATTGAGTGCTAGGGGTTTCCTGGGTAACATCTATGGGTATGCATGGCCTAGATAGGGAGTTTACTCATTAAGAGTAGACTCTTTTAGTGAGTTCATGGCCCTAAGAACAACTCCCCATGAGTTTACGTCCGTAAACTCATGGTAAGGGTGTTCTAGGGTGCTAAATGGTCTTATCTCACTCATAGAATTAGGCTAGGTCCAAATATAATGCATTTGAAGAGGTTTAAAGCTTTAAATGGACCATTTGAGGAGTTTACGACCCTAAGCTCCTATATGCATGTTCTTTTGGTGTTTTAAGGACCTAAATGGAAGGAAACAAAGTTCTATGCATTTTTCTAAGTCAAATGAAGGAGTTAGGGCACCATTTAGGCACTTTTTGGGAGTTTACGGCCCATGGACCAATCCTAGCAGGGTTTATGGCTGTAAACTCCTATTTCCTTGGTTTAATTGATGTTTAATGCCTTTACTTCAATGGTGGTTGCTTCTAGACATTTTCCAAGGCCATAGGAGGTGTTTGAGCGCATTTCTAACACTTGAATTTGAGTTTAATCCCCATGAACAGGAGTTTACTGCCCAAGCATGTTCTTGGTT